TAACCATAATAGACTCATCTAATTAATGAAATCAATACTTTAACAAAAATTCCGAAATTAACTCAAAAATCGCCCGTGGGGCCCACATTTTGGAATCGGGTAAAAGTCACAAAATACGAAGACCCACTCACTCACGAGTCTAACCATATAAAAATTACTCAAATCCGACCACAAATTCCCTTTCAAAACTCGAAATCTTTGTTGAAGAAGTTCTTCCAAACTTTTCCCAATTTCAACCCCAAAATCCGAAATTAAATGATGAAATCAACCATAGATTAGTGGAATATAACCATAAAGGAGTTAGGAATCATTACCCACAAACTTCCTCCAAAAATCTCTCCAAATTTCGCCTTCTACCGAGCTCTCAATCAAATTTTTGTGTTATGATCTCAACCCTCGTTTTTGAACCTTAAATTCTGCCAGGTGCGTTCTTCTTCGCGAACGCGACATCACGATCGCGAACGCGATGAACAATCTTCCACTGGCCCAAAATTCCTCCTTCGCGAATGCGAGGGGACTCTCGCGAATGCGTACCTTCCACTGACGGACTCTTTGCGAACGCGGGAACCTCTTCGCGAATGCGTAAGCTTAATGCCTGAAGCTTCCTCTGCCCCGTTCCTCTACGCGAATGCGAGGACCATATCGTGAACGTGTAGGCTTAAGGTCCCACACCTTTGCGAACGTGGGAACAACTTAGTTGCCTTTCCCAGATGCTCTATGCGATCGCGAGGCACCTCTTGCGAACGCGATGAAGGATTTTTTTGCAATAAAACACCAGAAATCTGTTACTTCTCTAAGTCCAAAGATGACTCGTTGAGCATCCGAAACACACCCGAGGCCCCCGGGACCTCGACCAAACATACCAGAAAATCCTAAAATACCGTACGAACTTAGTCGATCTCTCAAATCACATCAAACAATGCTAAAATCACGAATCACCCTCCAATTCAAACTTAAAGAACTTAAAACTTCAAAATTCTACAACCGATGCCGAAACCTATCAAATCACGTTCGATTGACCTCAAATTTTGCGCACAAGTCATAATCAACATTATGAACCTACTCCAACTTCCAGAATCGGAAAACGACCCCAATATCAAAAATTCCACTACCGACCCAAAATTCCAAAAACTCGACTTTCGCCATTTCAAGCCTAAATGAGCTACGGACCTCCAAAACACAATCTGAACACGCCCCTAAACCCAAAATCACCTAACGAAGCTAACGGAACCGACAGAATTCCATTCCAGAGTCGTCTTCATACAGTTCCGACTACGGTCCAAATCCTAAGGCTTAAACTCTCATTTAGAGACTGTGTCCAAAAACACTCCAAAACTCAAAACCAATCATCCCGACAAGTCACAATAGCAGAAATAGATATGGGGAAAGCAGTTAATAGGGGTTCGGGGCTCTAACTCTCAAAACGACCGGCCGGGTCGTTACAATAGGTGGTGATATGCTCTTGAGGATCTGAAGTCCCATCATACTTTGGCACGTCTGGCATTTTAAAAAACTTCGGGATCAGTTCCGGTGCCGCGCTTGGTTTGTACGGAAAATGTGTGTACTTTTTTAGTCCGGCTCTTTCAGCACTGGTGGTGCACCCGGAATTTGATCCATTCTGGCATTTACTTCCCTCATAAATTGCATGAGTTCGATTTTAAAGGGAGCACTCTCATTGTTGTGACCGTATCCGTTCCCCCCAGCCCCATCAGATCCGACCTCGCCCATCGGGGTGTTTTTGTCGACCCTCTGCGTCATTTGGTTTGCGGGAGCACCGGAAGAATTGGGCCTTGCCCATTTACATTGTTGGAAGTGCCTGACAATGCCTGCTTTAGTTCCGTCATGACCTTATCCTATCGTGTGAGATGGCCTATAATGGCCTCCTGTTGCTCTTGCAAGACCCTGACTACTTCCACGACGTGCTCTTCTTCAACATCATCAGGAGTTGCCTCCCGAACATGTCACAGATATCGGCCACCGTGGACCGGCGTGGCCTCGTTCACCTCCTTGCGGGTATCACTCATTGAATTCTCATCCCGAGGCTGATTTCCTGGGCCTCAACTTTGTGTGTGTTGTTAACTCCATTATCTGCCATATTTAATGATTTTTGGCTAAGAACAAAGAATCACACAAGTTAGTAACAGATGCAGGGATCAATTCAATTACACGACTGTCTATGCCCCACAGTGGGCGCCAAACTGTTTACCCGTAAAATGATACAGTTGAATTTATACGTGATTTATAGACAAGTGAACTAATTTATCCAAAAAATAATAGATGAATTAGAAAGAAATATAAGACTTAGCCTTAAAACTAAAATAGACTATAGATATCTTGATTCTGGGCGCAGAGCTATCTGGAGGCATTAAGTAAATTATTGATATTTTGATGGAATATGGTGTATGCTTGTTAGAAAATTTGTGTCCACTACAATGATAATAGGGCTCACTGTTTATAGATGCACCTAGGGAACAAGGTCCTAGGATCAACCTCCTCTTTAATGACAATTATAAGGGCCATTCAAGGATATGTAAGGGTGGGCAGTGAATGTCATATTCTCTGCAACGGATCATGCACTTAATGCTGTAGAATATTATTCATTGAATGCTACCGGACGATGACATTAATTTTATCGTTATGAGTATCTTCTCTCCGATGACAAGCGAGATCATTGCCTTCAGGTTTAGCTATCTTCTGACTTCGGTTCCACGTGTCGCTTTCTCATGCGATCATTAAATATGAACATATTTTACCCTATATAGATAGTCCCCATGCTTTCCGGTGGCATAACTTTGTGTCACCGAAAAGTTGGTATAAATACCTTTTTTGGCGGGTAATTCTTTGACCCCCTCAGAAAAGTTTCTCACGGTTGATTAGACGCCCGTCTCTCCGCATTTAATGCCCCGAACATGCGTCATCCCACGATTTAGCCTCACTTTTTCCGATTTTTGAGGTAATTATGACCATGATTTTAGCTGCCTATACCTTTACTCATACGCATCAAACCTCTTCATTTACAATTCATAATTCTTTACACTTTCTCAAACTCTTTTTACTCAACTCGTACTTTGTCTTCAACCTTTCTTTAATCTTCTTCTTGAGAGAAAACGTTCCCCCTTTTCTGATTAAAAATGGTCACTTTTTCCATTAACCCTATTTATTCAAAGAACAAAGGTATAGCTGATGATGCTGCTCCACCTACGGTGAGCTCCATCATCCCAAAGAGTCTTGTCACCGTCAAAGACTTTGAAGAGAAGTATCCTTCCGCTCACCCTCGTACGTAGGCAGTTAGCGCATATCCTTCTTCCATCTATCCTTCCAGTATTCCTGCTGTGAAGAAAGACTGCCACTGTCAATATTTAGACATTATCACTCCCGACCCGGCAGATCGAATAACCTTACCCAGGAAGGGTTTTACGTATTTTTACACGTATCCTTTCACTTTGGGACCATTCTCTTTGAGTGGAGAGTTTGACTCCATCATCATGGAGTTCTGCATCCGCTACTAGGTATGCTCGGCACAGGTAAGTCCTTCTGTGTGGAGGACAATCACTTGTCTTCGGCGCCTGTGCTATGAGACGGGAGAAGAGCTAACCCTAGCTCGATTGATGAACCTCTATTCCCCAAAAATCTTCCGCGCAGCAAGCGCGGCCACCATGCTCTGCTATCCAGTATGGATGATGAAAACGACCGTGGGTGGATGGAAAGGATCGCTTCAGTCGCCCCCAGTAATATCATTCCGGCTACGACTTCATCCTTTCCGAAATTATGGAACTGCACTTGTAAGTTCACCATTTGTCTTTTCTTCCGTTAAAGATCATTCCATATCGTTATTGACCCTTCTTCTTTCGCTTATTTCAGGGACTCAGTGGGTTCCACCTAGGGTTGAAGACTTGGACCAGTGGGTCCAAAATATTTTGGACATTACTACGGCGAGACCCATACGTGGAAAGAACTGGCCCTTAAATATGGGTGGAAGGCCAAAAATCATGGTAAGTCAAACTCATCTTGTTTTTACCTTTTCGTATAAGGAAGTTGTCAATTCTTGACAGGTAACTAATGGAATAGTCGAGGTGCACACAAAACGATTCAGATACCGTAATTATAAAATAAATAAGTAAATGAAGTCATCATGTATCTGGCTAATGCACTTAATATCAATTCCTGAGTAGATTAAACTATTAAAGTTTTCCTTAACTGAGGCTTCAGATGTTGCATCTATTTATCCGTAAAATGGTACAGTTGAATTTGTACGTGGTTTATAGACAAGTGAATTAATTTGATCCAAAAAATAATAGATGAATTAGACAAAAATATAAGACTTAGCCTTAAAACTGAAATAGACGACAGATATCTTGATTTCGGGCGCAGAGCTATCGGGAGCAATAAGAACAATACAAATAAGCAAGAAAGTAAAATGTTATTGAGCTTTTGATAGAATATGGTGTATGCTTGTCAGAAAATTTGTGTCTATTACAATGATAATATGGCTCACTATTTATAGCTGCACTTAGGGAACAAGGTCCTAGGATCAAGCTCCTCTTTAATGACAATTATGAGGGCCATTGAAGGATGTGTAACGGTGGGCAGTGAATGTCATATTCTCTGTAACAGATCATGCACTTAATGTTGTAGAATATTTTTCACTGAATACTACCGGACGCAGGCATTAATTTTGTTGTTATGAGTATCATTCTCTCCGATGGCAAGCGAGATCATTGCCTTCAGGTTTAGCTATCTTCTGCATTCGGTTCCACGTGTCGCTTTCTCGTGCGATCATTAAATATGAACATATTTTAACGATACAGCATCCACATTACATTCTGGCTTATCAATTATCCCCATAATCTGCTGCCAGCCTCGTACATTATCTCACTGAAAATATGTATTCAGCTGAACGAAATCTATGACAGATAAATGGGGCAACCTAAACTGCTGCCCAGTTGCATCTGTGTGGATTTTAGAATCCACCGCTTAGATGTATAAACCAAGACATAATGGACAAAAGATAAAGAGAAAGCAGCAAAGAGTTCTTATACAGTAATGCGCCTCTGAGCTTGGAGAGTTACAGTGGTGTGTTAAAGCAGCCAATTCACGATACAGACTAAATAGGCTCAGCAATGTGTTTTACAACAAACAGAACTTATAATGAGAGAACTTAAGATATTCAAGTAATCAAAGTTGTAGTGTTGCCGCTGAAGAGGATTGATCCCCTCTATATAGTGGATTGACGTGTCCAACAGCCCGACTAAGATGGAAGGGGTGCGAGGAGTTGAGTGCAGGCACGTCCTTGGAAGTCTGGGGAGTCTGTTTTACATATTTCACACCATGAATATTGTGAGTTGATCTGGTCTATCTTAACGGGGTCAGAAAGCGTACCAAAGGCCTGGTGCATTTGTGATGGAATATCATGTCAACCAATATGGCTTGCTCGAACTGAACTTGGTTCCGGACACTGCTCGGCTCGGCCCATGTTAGGTTTTGGCCACTACAATCTGCAAACAAATAGTCATCCTAGAAAAAGAATTTCCTCCCTTACAAAGTTGTACAATTTTCTCACAGCTGAAACTCCTTAGCTGAGATCAGTAGAATGTGACTAATGAAGATCACTGCAACTTATGGTAGTTAAGAGTGTTAGACCAATATTTCACCAGAAAGCATGCATATTCACCAAACACTTCCTAAGAGGGCAAACTGTTAAATTTCTAAGAAGATCAACCGATTAATGCTTACGATATTAAGGATCTTCAGGCACCACAATATTATCTGTAAAGCTTCTTAGTGAATACTATATCATTTCATTATATTGACCTAACTTCCAACTTTCCTCAATTCAGCTGAGAAGCGTCGTTGATGAAGTGAAGATGGTTTAGTCAATATTCTTATCAATGTACATAGGAGAGGAAAATCATATATCAACAACAGTGAGGCCAACATGTGAAACATGAACACCAACTTTTCTCTGCTGCTTTAAGCTGTGATTCTGATTGCTTGTGTTGCGGCTGCTTTTCTGGTTGGAACTCTGGTTGAGATTGAGGTTTCTCTACTTTCTCAGCGGCACCTTTCAGCGAGTTGCTTTTCGCACCATCATTTACTAGTCTGGATTGAACAAAAAATTAATCAGATACAGTTCAAATGTATTTCATGCATGGTAATGACTCCTCGCAAACCATATATCACAAAAGATAACTACATCATCTCAAATACGAAACCTTAACATAGATAGATAAAGAGAGAGGGAATGATAAACATGGGAAAAAAGCGGTTATTCTCGATTAGCAGTGCAATAACATGATCAAGTCCAGATCCAAAAACGAATAGAAGGTTTAATCCATTTCTCCAAAGGTTTTAAAACTGTCCTTCAAAAGAAGTTTGGCGCTAATATAAAAGTTTCTCTAATTATTAAAGAACATTAGGAAGATCACTACATCAAAAATCCCCAAGGCATAAACAAAATGCTGAATCCAATCTGTCAGATGAAACACTTTTAAAACATCAAAAGGCGACCCCTCTCTTTACAAAAGGCAAACTTTTATATCTGATCAAATAATTGGGAGCAGAAAAACAACAATATTAGTCACATACTAAATACAACAATGCAATGCTTATTTCATAAGCTAAAAGGTTTTGTCTGAAATTCTGCTTCTTTGGTCCAGACTCATAAATGTTATGTTTGCAAAGCTAGGAAAGATAATAATTACTTTTTTCTGATAGATAAATTCAGAATACAGGTAACGCCCTCGAAGGATAGTGACATCAATACATAGAATAGCATACCCTATGTATGAATCATGAAGTTTAAAAGTATGCTTTTAGACTGGCAGGAAAATCTTTGTGTTTGTCTTTAAAAAGGAATACACAAAATATATAAATGGATAATGTTAGACAGCAATTTGATAACATGATGTCTCGTACAAATATGAGCACAAAACAAATATATAGTGCATGGTGCAACCTTGATGAGAGGAAAATTAATGCTATAGAGCATAAAATTCAACAAGAGAATGAGATTATGAATTAGAAAAAATAAAACAGCAGAAAGTTCTATGTTTCTAGATGTCAATTACAACGTCTCTTTTACACAAAAAAGCAGTATGATGCTTTTACCTTTTATCCCAGCTGTTATTTTGACGAAAAAGGTGATGATTGTCATAATTGCCAAGTATCCTTATACTTTTGTAGGATATAAAATGTTCATGTTCTTTATGTGTTAAGAAAAAAGAAATTTTTTGTTTATGTTCCAATATTTATATGTAAAACACTGAAAGGAGAGCTTACACTGGGAAAGCAAAGGAACTACTGCTGTTTCCACTCGCCTCGGAGTGGCAAGGTGAAGAAGTACGAGCAGGTGAAGAAATACGAGTAGCCTCAGTTGGTGGAACAGCTCTGTCATCAGTCCTGTTGGAGGTGGTAGCAGCAGGCTCTTCAATGACACTACTTGTCTTTCCTTTGATATTATTATTCACAGGTTTTTCCTCTGAGACCATTTTGGGGGTCTCGACATTCTTCTCTTGTATACCAGGACCTTCCGACGCTCTTGCACTTTTTTCATCCCTATCTCTGCTTACATCGATAAGAGGGGGAAGGGGGGAAGATAAGTTCTTACTGTCATTGGATTTAACTTCGGATGCATAATATGGAGAATTTTTCCATTCCTCAGGCTTGTTGAGTTCTTGAGATTTGGATAGCAAGTGAGAGTAATCTGTGGAGAAGCTGTTGGTTCCCATTTGAATACTAAACAATGACTCATTTGATGCAGTGCTCCATTCCGGGGTGGTAGGCTTGCTCGAAAAAATGGATTTAGGAATACGATTAGGATCATAACCTGGAGGATGATCCATAGTACTATGTGATGGAGGGGATTTCATTGGCTCAAGATTCTGAGGAAAAGCATCGGGGAATAATGGATTTCCTGTTTCAGCACGCGGAGAATTACTCATCATACTCCACTGTGGCGTCTGAGAAGAAACATCAGGAAACCATGAGGCTGCTGGACTAGGAGATAGGGAAGCATCTGGTTCGGACTTTGTATATAAATCTCCAAGAGACTCCTTTGGATGAGTACTTAGTTCTAGTGACGAATCAGATGATGAAGAAGCTGATAAGTGAGAATCAGGATGTTGCATTACAGGTTTATTGCTAGCATTCGCTTTCTCCATATTTTATTTTCCCTCTGATTAAACACAATTCTTCAATGCTATCGGCAACTCAAGCAAATCTTTCTCCTGCAGAACAAGGACGAATCAGCAAAGCATCTACTACTTGCTAGAAAAGTTGATAAAGATAGGGGGAAAATATATATAGCCTAACATAGCTTGAGGCGTGTAGAACACTTCCTCGAAAGATTGATTGCCCCAGTTTATGGATAGCAGACAACGATCTCTGGGAATACAATGTCTCTCGTCTGGAAGTACAAAACAACGTTCTTATTTATAGAACATAATTTCAAAAGGTTGAAACCTTTTCAGAACAGACGTCTTTTTATTATTATAAACTACAAAGGGCCAAATATATACCTCTACTTTTCAAAATGGTCTAAAAATACTCCTCGTTATACTATTGAGTTATTTATACCCTGCAGTCATATTTTGGGTTCAAATATAACCCTCATTTAAACGGAGGGACACGTGTCATCGTCATGTTGGTCAATTCTAAATATCTTCTAATTAATTAAAAAGACCCATTAATCATACCCGAAAAGCAATTTTTTTTTGTAAAAACTAGAAAAAACTAAAATTATTTTTACTAAAAACTGAAAAAACCGAAAATATTTTTTTTCAGCTTTTACAAAAAAACTGCTTTAGAAAAAATTGCAAAATATTTTCTAAAACAATGTTTTTGAAAAACCTGAAAAAAGAAAGCTGAAAATCAATTTTCTAAAGCAATTTTTTTTGTAAAAATTGAATTTTTTTTTACTAAAAACTGAAAAAAACGAGAATATCTTCTTCTTTTTTTTCCCAGTTTTTACAAAATAACTGCTTTAAAAAAGCTAAAAAATATTTTCTAAAATAATATTTTTGTAAAAACTGAAAAAAAAAAACTAAAAAGCAAATTTCTAAAGCAGTGTTTTTGTAAAAACTGAAAAAACAATTTTTTTTTTCCAGTTTTTAGTTAAAAATATTTCAGTTTTTTTCAGTTTTTAATTGCTTTAGAAAATTATTTTTCAGTTTTTACAAAAATATTGTTTTAGAAAATATTTTTCAGTTTTTTTAAAGCAGTTTTTTTGTAAAAACTGGAAAAACAAATATTTTCGCTTTTTTCAGTTTTTAGTAAAAATGTTTTTTCAGTTTTTTCCAGTTTTTACAAAAAAAAAAATTATTTTTCAGCTATGGATAATGAGTCTTTTTAATTAACGGACGATGACACGTGTCTCTCCGTTTAAATGAGGGGTATATTTGAACCTAAAGTATGACTGCAGGGGTATAAATAACCCAATAGTATAACGAGAGGTATTCTTAAACCATTTTCGAAAGTAGAGAGGTATATTTGGCCTTTTGCCATATAAACTATCCAACACTACTTAAGTTATCAGATCATAGTAAGATGGATATGTTAAAAATACAGACAGAATTTCAGATATTATGAGCTCAGAAATACTCTTCCAGGAAAGAAGTTTGGAGTTAAGTAAGAATCAGGCATTATTCTTCAAAACCAACTACTAACTACATTTTGCCAGTTCTCTTAGCCGGGGGCGTTTATCTTAGGCCCCGACTAAGATATCTAACTATGTGTAAAATTAAGACTATAAACCAATATTGTCGAGTTTAAGATGAATAACCACCGCAAGTTTAATGCCCTTGCTCTTAAAATCCATCTAGAGCTATTTTCCCAGTTTCATCATTTTTCTTTTTTGATAACTATAGCATTTCTGGTACCCACCAAGGATTCAATAGATGGGAAGAAATCACTCGTCTCTATTGAAATTTGAACATGATCTCTCATGACCTTCATCCAATTCATTGACTGCTAGGTCACACCTTTCATACTATGCCACATGACATCACCAATTTGTTTCACCAAAATGGGAATTAGAAGGTGACTTCCAGGATTCTGGGGCAGATTGAAAAAAAAAAACAATTAAAAAAAGGTTTAAATTTTCATGGTTCTCCGTTGTTCTTTCTAGATTCATAGAGCAACAATAAATCAATCAATCAGTCTTCTACGCATCAATGTCAAACTAGTTGTGATCGGCTATATGAATCATCAATCTCCTTTCTTTCACCATATAACTCTAGCAACAAATTATTTTCAAACTCTGAATCTGCTAACCAAATGAACGTTAATAATCATAAATCTTTGAAAGTTATTATATCTAATATAAACCATCGATCATTATGTAAGCGATTAGAGCAATGTACAATCTTTGCGCGTAAGCTGGCCCGAACACAATTATAATAACAAAAAGAGGTATAATTCTTCTTGTTCATTAGGCTCATATATAAAACAAATAATACTCACCTCCAAATCAAATGTGCGTAATATCATCCAATGCAATTTCACAGGCTCTGAATTTGGGCAAAATTCGTATTCAAATAGGCTTTACAAGAAAAATACGATTGCTCTAATTTTGAAATAAAAAGTGCCAAGAAAGCAATTGAAAGTATCTAAAATCTTTTAAGAAATTCATAGCACCTTCATTGGAATCTTAATAACTAGCTATTTCATGTTTGCAAGTAAATTACCAACATAGAAGTGGCATTTCTGCAAACAAAAAGCTAGAGATTGACAATCAAGAAATATTTAAATATGAAAGAAAAGTTTTATAATTTTAACAAAAGGATTAACAGAAATCAAAATGCAAAAACAAAAAAATTGGATTTAGGGTCGATAGGAAAAGAATTTTTTAGGGATTTCATTTTTTGGGTTAAATTTGCATAAAAAAGGAAGGGCTAAGCTGCTATTTCGGTAATGTATGCTTTTATAAGTTATACCTAACCGTTGGCGCCATCGCTAGTTTTACTGTTAACATGCCACAGCTGATCCTAACGAGAGAAAATAAGTTGGGCGTCGTTTGATTCCCGTATTAATTATACAGAAATTATAATGTAGGAAATATTTATGAGGTCATATAATAATGTGACAATTTTTATTTGTTGAGTGAAAATATGAGAATGCTTACTTTAATAGCTTTTTTTGTGTTTAGTAATTATTTTATTCACGTATTGCCAATAAATATATTTTTATTTTTCATTCTATCTCACATAAAATAATATATGTATTCATGCATAACTCTATATCAACCAAATAATGCTAAGAAATAAATTTGGATAGTAGCTGCCAGCTGGTGGTGGTCATGATAAGCTAATAAGTACTGTTTTGCTCACTCCACCTCCACGGAATAGTTCGATTTTTCCTCCACAACGTCCTTAGGGTGATATTGTTTCTTTTTCTTTTGCCGCATTTCACTCAAATGGTTGAAGAAATATAATGCATAGATAAATATCGTCCAAAATAGGTCATGAAAAGGATCTCGAAGACCTACCAAAGTAGGAAAGCCAGGATCTTTGAAAAGCTAGATTCCTATTCAAAGAGTGCATAACTGCATGCATGAGCTAACAACAACCCATCAATTGGAGGTTCAAAACGGTGGTGGTTGTGAGTGTTGAATAGCAGTGACGTTGGATGATGTGTTGTGATTGTATGTGTAGCTAATGGTGACAGTGGTTGAATGGTTAAAAGTAGTGATTGATGATGATAGTGTGACGATCCAGTATGTCATTTTGAGTACTAACCTTTATTTTCGTGTTTCGAGATCTCTATTAGCTTCATTTGACATTTCTTGATTTGCGTGCGTGGTCCGTGTCATTTTTCGGAAAGTTGTTACGAAAAAATTTGAAGAAAAAATAATTTTAGGCGTAAAATGGGACTTGAATTGACCACAGTCAATATTTTTAGTAAACAACCTCGGATCAGTATTTTGATGATTCCGGTAGGTTCGTATGATTTTTTGGGCTTGTATGCACGTTTGGTTGGGGACCGGGGTGACCCGCGTATTTCGATGCGTTATGTAAAAAATTGTGAAAATGAGTTTTCAAGTTGAAAATTAAGAGTTTTGATGATCGATTCTTATTATTTGATGTTATTTTGATGATTTGAGGTAGCGAGCAAATTTGTAGAATGATAATACACTTGTGTGCATGTTCGGTTTGGAGACTAAGGGGCTCGGGTGAGTTTCGATTGCGTTGCAGAATGATTTAGAATTGCTGGTGTCGAGCAGTTGCTGGTATTTGATTGCAGGTCTCGCAATTGCGAGGACCTGTTCGTAATTGCGAGTCCCGCTTTTGCGAAGTTAGACTCGCAAGTGCGATTATTGGCTGGGCGTGGTGCTCTTCCCAAATGGGAAAAACATGTCGCAAATGCGATCCTAAGTTTTCGCTTTTGCGACAATTCTGTCGCTTTTGCGATTCAGGTCATGGACTGGAGGTCTTTGCAATTGCGAGGGGGGGAGGGGGTAGGGGCATTTGCGATGGGTTAATGATAGCATCAAGGACAAGGATAGAGTTAGGTCGTTATCAGTTAGTAGTTCGCATATGAGAACATTTAGTCGCATTTGCTACATCTCATGCAGTGACAGTAATCGCAAATGCGATCAGAGTCTCGCATTTGCGATTTGCGAACAAAACTTGAGAGGTGATTTTCTTGGGAGCTTTTCTTCCTAAAATCATTGTAAGTAACTCTAATCTATTTTCTATCAAGTTTTCGTTACTTTTCATGAGTTTTTAGCATCAAATCTAGGATTTTCATGGTAGAAATTAAGGATTTTATAAAATTGAGATTTAGACCTTATATTGAGGTCAGATTTCGAAACAAATCACATAACCGGGCTCGAGAGTGAATGGGTAATCGAATTTTGGTCTGAATCTCAAATTTTGACCAAGCAAGCCCGGGGTTGACTTTTGTTGACCTTTTAAATTTCATCAAATGATTGAACCTTTTTTTTATTAGTGGGTAGTTTCTAAAGCTTATTTTGAATTGGTTAAAAGATATTTGGATAGAGTTGGTTGGTTTGGAGGCTTGTTCGAAAGGAAAAGCCGTGGTTGATTGAGTTGGTTGCGCAAAGAGGTATGTGACGTGTCTAACTTTGACTTGAGAGAATTATGACTTGTTGGTCTATTTATTATGTGAATTTTGTGGAAAACTAGCATATATGCATGGTGACGAGTGTATATACGCTGTCACGGGTTAAAGCATGCGGGTTGGCCTATTTGCTTTCATGTCTTCATTTATTCCATGTTATCTCTTATTGCATGCTTTGATTGCTACATGTTCTATCTTGTTATACATTGACTTTCTTGTTATCTGTCATTTAGCTATTATCTGTTTCGATTCGATCATTTCTCACTCAATATCTGCTTACCTGCTACATGTTCCTACTTGCATTAATTGTATATTTGCATTGTTTAATTTTTTTTACTTACTTTTATTGTCCTTATATTACTTGATGCACTTTATTATGTTATTCTGATTATGTGATCCATATTAATGAATTGTCAAGGTTGGGGATTACGAGGTATGGGTTATTCTCCGTTTGTATTGGTAGTTCCTTACTTTTCTGCAAGTTTCATTTCCCTATTGTGTTGAGCTTATGTAATTAGTTGTGTTGAGTTATTTATGTTAATGAGTTGATATTGGGAATGTGTAACGCGCCGCAATAATGTGTGATGTGATATTAGGATCGGATTGCACGCCACAACAGATAATGATATGATATAATATTGGGACCAGGTTGCACGTCGCAACAGTTACTGTATTAAGTGTTGGGATTGGGTTGCGTGCCGCAACAGAGTATGATGTGTTGTAGTTTTTTGTTGTTGTAAAGTTTTATCTCGGTACTGGGATATGAGATTTGAGATTATGTTATTTTAGGGCCCACTGGTAGTTGACCTTCGGGTCCGTTTTTATGAGTTTACTACTTTAGTTATATTTTTGTATTTTGTTATCATTATTCGTATATGTTTATTGTGAGTGTTTTGCCATAGCCTCGTCATTAATTCGCCGAGGTTAGGCTCGGTTCTTACAGAGTATATGGGATCGGTTGTACTCATGCTATACTTTTGCACTTTTTGTGTAGATCCCGGTGTTGGTCCCAGCGACACGTAGAGAAGTTATGCAAGGATTCAACTGCTATAGGAGACTTGAGGTAGAGCTGTCCAGCGTTCGCAGTCCCTGAAATCCCATTCTATTATGTCTTTACTATTTATTTTGTTTCAAAGATTTGTACTTCGTTCAGACCATACTTTGTAGTACTCTAGTTGCTCATGTACTGGTGACATCAGATTTCTAAGATTAGTGTAGGCCGTGTTATTTATGAATTTGTCTTATGTAATTCAGTTTTGCCAATCGTTAATTATTATTGTTACTCGCTTTTTAATTATTAAAGTGGTTAACTGATTAGCTAATATTGGCTTGTTGAGCCAGTAGATGTTAGGCATCATCACGGTGCCATGGTTGGAATTTCGGGTCGTGATAAGTTGGTATCAGGGCACTAGGTTGCCTAGATCTCACAAGTCATGATCAAGCTTAGTAGAGTGTGGAGAATCGGTATGGAGACGTATGTGCCGCGCCCCCATTTTCTCGCGAAAGCAGGCCTCGACATGCGACAACTCTTTTGAGTGGGAGGTAAAGCATTAAAGAAAAAAAGAGTCGCCACCTAACGATTTTTAAGGTGCGTTAGGGCACCTATCATGCAGATAACTCTATTTGACTAGTCAACACCACCAAAGATCGGGTAAGGGCTCAAATTACCTCAAAGAGAAGGTGTTAGGCACTCTTCGAGATCCACAACTGTGGGTCCCGGCCGAACTTAAGACTATGTGGATTATAATTAGGCAAGATAAACAAAGAGAGTATGGGTGAAATGAATTTATTAACACAATGAGAAGTAAGGATTACAAGGATATAACTATTAACCTATATTAGATGATTAAACGAATAAATAAGAGAAGGGGGGTCCTAAGTTTTTTAGCTTAAAGGATCACCCCGTGCAACATAAATAATACTTTGCAACTCCCTTGAGGTAAGGAGTTACTCATATTATTCAGCGGACACAGACTATCATCTCCTGCTATCCGATTACTATGTTAAAGTTGTTTACCTAAGCGCTCTAATTCAATTCTAAATCGTGCCCTATGCGTGCACTACTCGTCCCATACTTATGGTCCAGGAGGCATTGGACCTTTATTTAGGGTGGTTCTAGACTTAACTTAGGCTGCTCAAAATAATAAAACTAGGCAACATACAAAACAAATTGGACTTCAAATGAGAGCAGTTAAAGGCTCAAGTTACCCTCCACACTTAGACAACAAATGCACATAAAATAGGTTCTCACATTGAGCATTGGACAGTTTCAGAACTGAAGCCAATTAGAAATCATTAAGCCATGTCGACATGGTTTCTATGTGACCTTGGATTCAAACGTGAATATATGACATTACTGCTTCTAGTGGCTTAGACGAGGAAGTAGTAAACCATTTGCTGTTAATGCTGCTTTTAGATACTAGATTTAGAAAGGTGACATTGTCCTACATACATGATATCTAATAGTGGCATAGTTAAGCAAATGAAAATAGTTTTGGGAACCCAGCCTTGACAAGGGGATAAACAATATTAAGCGAATGACAGTACCCTATAGGCAGGATCTCTAACAATTGACAATCGAACCTTTATTTTATAACACTTTACCTCTATGAGCAGGTTATCTAGGCGGATCAATAACAATAACAATAGCTAATTTATTAGTCAAGGTCCTATAGGCATGATTTCTAGGTAAAAATAGAAC